AGGAGAGTCAGAACCTTTCTGGGTCTCAGTCTGACCTCTGCTCACCGTCGCCCCCAGGTGACAAGACTGAGGAGCTGCAGCTGCTGGGGAACCACCTGCTGGACGTTTTGAAGGACCAGAAGGTTCTGGTCCAAAGGCTGATGAGGCCGTTGGCCCGGACCGGTCTGCCCGTCCCGGCCCACATGCAGCGGTAAGAACTGGGGAGGTTCTGTCAGGATTCTGACCCAGACAGCAGCTAACCGGACCACTGGTTCTGCCTGCTGTCCCGTCTGTGCTGCAGCTTCGTGGTGGACTCTGTCAAGATGATGATTGACTTCATAGAGCGTCTGGAGGAGAAGCTAAGCTCCGCCCACTGTCTGAACGCCACCAGCGACCGCCTCGCCCTGCTGGTCAGTTCCGCTCCAGAACCACGGCTCCGAAGGCTGCAGACCAATAAGAACTCAGTTCCTCAGCCTGGGTCTCACTGTGAGCCGGTTTCAATTCAATTAAGTTTATTTCTATAGCGCCAATTCACAACACATTACTATATCTATGCTCCGATTGGGAGCATAGATATAGTAAAGAGAATTGGTCCCAGCACTGATCCCTGTGGTACTCCACAGGTAACCTTTGAGACAGGTAAACTGAAATTGATCAGATAGATAAGATTTAAACCAGTCTAGTTCTGTTCCTTTAATTCCAACAAAATATTCAAGTCTTTCTAAAAGAATATTATGGTCAACTGTATCAATGCAGCACTGAGATCCGACAGGACGAGCACAGGAACAAGTCCATTATCTGAGGCCATGAGAATATCATTAGTGACTTTCACCAGAGCTGTTTCAGTGCTATGATGAGCTCTAAAGCCAGACTGAAACTCTTCAAAAAGTTCATTATGGTGTGAGTGATTGCACACTTGTTTGGCAACTACTTTCTCAAGAATTTTAGATCAGAAAGGAAGATTGGATATAGGTCTATAATTGACCAAGTCATCTGGGTCAAGAGACGGTTTCTTAAGTAAAGGTTTAATTCCAGCAACCTTAAAAGCCTTTGGTACATATCCCTGTAACAGAGATAGATTAATCACATCTAAAATGGAGGAGGAGATCAAAGGGAATACCTCCTTAAATAACCGGGTTGGAACTGGATCTAACATCCAAGTTGAAGGCTTAGATGAAGACAATAGTTCTTCAGAACATCTGCAGAACATCTAGTCTCCAGGAGAGGCCAGCCTCAGGACGGACCATCAGAACCTTCAGCTACTACATAGAAAGAGCAAACAGAACCGTGTTCTGATCCGAGGTCCGTCTGCTCTCTCTCTCTCCTCTCAGGAAAGCTCGCTCGCCCTCCTGCTGACCCTGGCAGCAGAATCAGAAACTTTGTTCTGCAAGATCCAGCAGTGGAGATCCGTCAGCATCAGCAGCAGCTCAGAGCCTCCGTCTTCTGGGCCGTCGGCCCCCTGAGGGAACCAGACCGGACCGGTCTGTTTAGCCCAGACTGAGATCATCTAGATTTTGTTTTGTGTTTTTTTTTAGAGCAATGCGTTTATTGATTTATCCTGTGAGTATCTAAATATTTCATCTGTACATCACAAATACAGAAATGTGAATAAAACTTATTCAAGAAAACTTCCCAGATTTGGGTTTGACTGAAACTCATCCAACGGTTCACAGCAACAGATTCAAACCCATCTTCAGGATCTTGATTAAAAGACGTTTCTGCACAGAACGAAGGAAAGGTTCCCAGACTCTCCCAAACATCGAAGACTTTTCCTTTCTACAGCAGGAAATCCTTTCAGTTTTAGTTTAACAGTTATCTAGATCAAACTCCGCCCCTTCAGCATCAAATGTTCGCTCTCCATCCTTAGCAGCCACCAGGGATGATCAGGTGTGGAGGGCGGGAACTACCTGAAAATCAGTCAGACAGTAGATCAGATATATTCACTGAAATACAAGAAACACTTAATATGTTGGGGCTAGTAGGAAATTCTGTTTGGGTTCCGGAACATAACGAGATTAAGAGGAATGAAACGGCAGACAGGATGGCTAAGGAGAGAACCAATAAGGTAAGGATAGATATTAATGTTAGCTTTAGTATAATAGAAAGTGAGGGTATAATTAAACAAAAGAGAGGTGGCAAAGGTTATGGGAAGAAGAAAAGAAAGGAAGGCGGTTTTATAAGATCCAAAAGAGAATTGGACAGATGAGAAGAATAGAAACAGAATTATTTCACGACTTGGAATCAGACACACTGGATTAAATAGAGAATTATTTTTGATAGGGAAATGAGACGGTGGAACATGTTATTTACAGTTGTAGGAAATATTTGATTCAGAGAAACAATAAACTAGGAAAGTAATAGGAAAATTAAATTGGATACGGTTGATTTACTGCAAAAGGAAGCAAGATATCAGGCGACATTTGAGTTTTTGAAACAGCGTAAGTTGTGTGATAGGATGTAGGTTTTTTATTTTATTTTCATGTGGTCAACACTCATTACCTAAAGTTTTTGCCAACCTCCAATAAATGTCAAGAAGAAGAAGGAAATACCTGAAACCACTGATCTCTATTTATTCCCTGCATTGCAGATTGGTAAAAAAGAAGAACCTGTCGCCATATTGATACTCCCTAGTTAGACCGGTTGCAGTGTAAACAATCTTTGCTCTACAGCATCGAACAATGATGATGATCTCATTTTCAGGGGGACTTAAGACTTTTAACATAAAGATAAATTCATCACTTTGACAAACACTGGCTGTTTCATAGCATCAGTAGATTACTTTAACCTATTATAAAAATAAAATAGGCCTTTCACATTGCACAGTCATTATGAAGTCAATTAAGTCTATAAATATAACATACAATATATATATATTTGGGTCAAATGTTTGAGTCGCTTTTTTCTCCATCAATATAACCTGCAATATATTTCATGAATTTTTCAAATGAGAAATACAACAAACTACAAAAACGACAGCATCATCTACTGAATAAAGAATTACTACTTTGACATTTCTATTTCCTCTACTTTCTATTTTCTAACGTTGGACCCAATGTCAGTGGCTAACTCAGTCAATGTCTTCCAGTTAGTCTCAGCCAGACTAATGTTACACTACATACTGTACAGTAGGATCCATCGGCTATCGATGGATTTATTGCTTAGTTCATCCACTGACTGGGAAATTACCTGTGGAACGTCTTCCTGCAGCCAGAAAACTGCTGGTTTCTGCAGCCAAATGCTGAACAGGGAGGCATTTTAACTGTGTCTGTAGGAGTGGGGAGTACCAACATGGTGGACGGTGGCTTCACTTTTTTGGGGGCAATCAGCAATCCATTGAATAATTAGAGATCAGTGCCTGAAACCTGCAGGACAGAGGGGCCTGAGGAGCAGGACTGAGACCCACTGATCTCCAAGACTGCAGCCGTGTGGAGCCTGAAGCTCCTAGACCTCTGCTAGAGACATAAACCCACTATGATTAAAGTTTCTCTATAAACGCAGAAACACCAAATATACTCACTACCAAACCATCCCAGAGGAATTTCAGGATCAACTTCAATTTTATATCATTAAAATGAAATAGAATGCATAAAATCGCTGCTGGGGCCTAATCAGTTATGGTTACCGTGGCAACGCAACATTTAGTCAGAATTGCATCGTTAGTATAGTAAAAGAGGCGGCCCTCTGTGAGAGGTATAGCATGTGGCACGGCTCAGGTGAAAACTCAGAGTGCAGTTTTCAAAGCTGAATCAGTTTTAAAAGGAAAATATAAAAAATGTGTGATTTACTGATGTATATTTCATGTTCAGTTTCCAGTGATTAGTGGCACAGACATCCTGGGAGGGCAGAGACACGTCCTGTTCTTTGGTGAGATTCATTAGATAAACCTCAAGGCCACAAAAATAAAAAAGTTCAACATGTTAGGAAATCTGTGTTTACGCCTTGAAGCTTTCTCACTCCATCACAGAGATCACTCAGAGCAAACACTCTAAATAACACTTTATATTGTTTATGGATTAAATAACCAGGAGACATGGCAACAGATTTAGATAGAAATTATAATCTTACTCAGATCAGAGAAGTTGCTTAGCTACAGAAGGCAGTGTTTACCAGCAGGGCTCACCTCTCATTGAAGGGGCCCCAGATCACAGTTAGAGAAGCACTTTATACACCTCTAGTCTTGACACATCATCACATGTTAGCAGATGAGGAGACATTCATGGCTCCAGCCTCATCGATATATATATATATATTACTGTGTAGATTTAGATTTATTCATTTGACAGCGACAGTGTGCATTAATAAGCCTTCCTACAAATGCACCAGAATTCACCAAAAGGCTGTTTTCCATCTGTTGTTCCTGGACAAATTTTAAAATTGTCTAAACCTAAAAATACAAAAGAATTTTTACAGCGAAAAATTTAAACATAAAAAGAAAAAAAAAACAGCTATAACTCTTCAAAACTTGTTTAAAAATACAGAATTAATGTTTGCTAGACTACAGATTTTAGGTCAATAAAATAGAATAAAACATTCAAATAAAAATAATTACACCATTTATGTGTCTCAGATAAAAAAGAAAACTGGCTGTTCAGAAAGATCCACTGTGTCTTTGCATTTCTCTGTTACGTACATAATGGACGTAATATTATTATGGATTAGAGATAGGGGTATTAGACTCACAAATCAATGAAAATAAAACAGAAATGTTATGCCTTTTTTAACCTTAGGTGAAGGCATGAGGCAGAATAAGTTGTGTTTATGAATAGAAAATAAAGATGAAAGAAAAACTGAATGTTGGCGGTATGGTTTAAAGACAGGGTTTGATTTTTTTTTTTTTTTACAGAAAAATAGTCCATCAGAGTTAGAAATTTACAAAAACGACGAAGTTTTGTTTTTATGTGACTAATCTCTGGCCTTTTAATCATGAAACTTCCCCCGACTAGTGACACTTCTGCACTTCCATGTACAGCCCCCTAGGGGGAGCTAATCCACTGTTTACGAAAGCTATGATGACGCGCTGTTTCCTGTTTGGTAGAGTTGGATGACGCTTCTCTGGAGTACAGACCTAGCTGCGCTAACACTGTGGTTCCCGGAGCCCGAACAACCTCTCAGACCGGTTCCTCTTGGCTTCTTCGGTGCTTCTGTTTCCGGTCCTGTTGGTAAGGATGAGCTAGCTGGGTCCGCAGACGGTTTCTGTGTGAAAACACCGAACTGACGGCGGTGCCGTTAGCTGCTAGCGGTTAGCCCAGCTGGAAACAGCTGGCTGGCTGTTTGTAGCTGACGAAATCAGCCACCAACCTGTGGCCTTGTTGTTTTGATCGACCAGAATAAGTTTAAACCGGTTCTGTCACTGTTGACTCCTTTAGCTCGTCCCTCAGCGATGGTCGATAAACTGACGGCTTCATTTATTGCAGTCTAACAGTAGGAAGACCACCAACCCAACACAGCTTAGACTGCCAGGGTTAATACTGAAGGTGATAAAAGGAGGTGGTTAACGGACAGCCTTTAGATTATTACTGATTATTTCCCTTTAAAAACACCAGAGTAAAAACTGAAAAATTGAACTAAATAGAAAATAATCTGAATGAAACTAAAGGAGAAGGGATAATGGCTGAAGGATTGTCTTTCAGATAGACTGATGTTATTAATGGATTATAGGTTCAGCACCGCTCCCACCTGAGCCTCAGGCTGGGTACCGAACATCGGTTCTTTTATGGTACCGACCGAAATGCTTCGGTTCTACAGAGTATCGAAACATGCCTGGTCTTTCGGTACCAAGTTTCGGTGATTGGCTGTAACACTTAACGTGATTGCGTCATCTAGGAAAAATACACAGGTGGTCACGCCTACAGCCAGGGGTCATGTGCATCTGTTGTGAACTGGCTGCGAGCGTCGTGGAACCCCTTTAAAATGCCCCCCAGGTCAAAAGTGTGGCTTCACTTTATTAAGACTGATGCCAATAGTGCGCAATGCAATACATCGTGCACGGAAACAATTTAAGAGCACAAAGTTGCTCTTAAAGAGAGAAGAGCAGATGTGATGTTAAAGGCAAGACTGCCAGCAGTGTCTTTAGCAGGGACAGTCTCTGAGGACGGAGCAGCTCATCTCGCCACCACAGTCGCAGCAGCAACAGTTTCCCTCAGAGGCTCTGGAGATGTTCAAAGGCTGGTTAAGCATGTGGGACTAAGGAGATTTGGCTGCCATGATTCCCATTCAGCAAACTGGGAGCCTGCAGCCGCCATGATCAGGAAGAAATAAGCCTTCAGATTTGGATTGAAAAAGGAAACCGCTGCCATCGAAGGTGACGTCATCGTCTTCTTCTGCTGCTCAGCTCATCAACCTGAAGATGAAGGGATGAGATTGGTGATGAAAACAGCTTAAGTCCTCTGCCTGCGTCCTGCGCCGTCCTCTGGGCTCAAACCAGCGGCTTTCTTTAGTAATTTGGCTGCCAGTGGGGGGGCTGGGGGGGCTTCAAGTTTCTGGGCTGTGAAGAGGAATGTTTGTTCTCTGATGGGAAGGACTGAGTCGGATCTACTGCTTATTACAAATGAGGAGTTTCATTTGAATAGGAAAAGGAGAGAAGCAGTCTGGTGGTTAGAAGGTCATCAGACTCACGGCAGCCTCTCATTTCAAATTATGGGGGGAACGCCACCTCGCCATCAGCAGAGCAGGCTGACGGCGCCGCGTTAACCTGGTGGAAGAGGATGGAAAAGGTGGGAGCTGATGGGTCCTCCTCAGTGGTGTCAAAAGTTCACACATTTTTTACTTAAGTAGAAGTATAGATACTGCAGTTTAAAAACACTGGTAAAAGTTGAAGTAACAACTAAAAGTAAAAGTGAAAAAGTATGTGCTCTAAAAACTACTTAAAGTATAAAAGTATAAGTAACCTTTAATAAAAACAACCAGATGCCACTATATGAACTGAAAGCTTAATTTTTCTACTATTTCTAAAAATACTTTGAGATAGGGCCAAGGATGAGGGAGGTCTTGTTGGTCTCCATCTCCCGATACGCTCTCGCCTGTGTCCGACCTTTCA